GACTATAATCATTGTGAAATTGCGGTTTATTTTGCTGCACCGGCAGTTATAGGGTTAATGCGGGAGAGACGAGCGAGTGCGTCTGTGATACAGCTGTTCTGCGTTCTGATTAAAAGTTAGCGTCTAGCGTCTTTTGTCTGTCGTTCTTCAAACATTACAGTAGACATATTTTGGTTTACAAACTGTCATCAGTTATCAGTCATCAGTTAAAATCAGTTAGTCACGTTAGCACTCGGCTAACGTATCCACCATTATTGTTTTAAGTGTTCACAGTTTAGCAGCTAAACTTTAGCTGTGGGCACGATTCACTTGCATAAGTGTTTTTGTATTTTATGACATTATTATAAGAACGGTTTGGAGCACTGTATTATTGTGTATATTCTGAGAAAATTACAATGTTTTCTGACCTTAGATGCATTTAAACCTGTTGTAAGGGACTCCAACACAATATTAGGACACTTTAAAATACCATATGACCTGCTCTTTAAATTTATATTTAAAACCTTATTGTATCGGATTATTAATTTCGCAATGAAATTTGAATTTGCAAAGATTTTAATGTTTTTTTAAATTTGTGATATTACCATGTTATTACGACACCAGTTTTGTTAAATAAATGATAGTCTTCACACATTATTAATGTTTTTTTCTATACTAAAACTGTACATTTTGGGGATTTTTTTCTGAAACACTATTTTAAGTTGCCCTTGAGGTAGTTGCTTGTACACTGAACAAAATTATAAACGAAACACTTTTGTTTTTGCAATATTTGAGAGAAATAGGCCTTTTGTGTACATAGAAAAAGTCTTAGATCTTTGAGTTCAGCTCATGAAAAATGGGAGCAAAAACAAAAGTGTTGCGTTTATAATTTTGTTCAGTGTAATTATGCATAACTCAATTTTATTATTATAGCAAGTACATGTAATGTGTAACAAAGACACTTTTCTGCTGATGCACCCCTTCTGATTCAAAACTGACCCAAATGCAACAGGAGGGTTAAGCAGCAACATTGTTGTTGGTGCCGATAGCCTCGTGGCAGTGTGCCGACATATAGAGTCCCGAGTTCGAGTCCTGGCTTGTGAACCTTTCCCGATCCCGCCCCCCTCTCTCTTTCCCACTTCGCTTCCTGTTAATGAAATGTCCTATCCAAATAAAGGTTAAACATGCTAAAAAATTAATCTTTAAACAGCAACATTGTTAAAAATAAAATGTCAGGCATTCTGTTCTAATGCTGGGATCCTTCAAAAGGGTGTGCAGAGCAGTAGGTGCTACACACAGACAAGAACAGCACAAAGTCTGGCAAGTTTCCAAAGTTTTACCAACTCACCTCTCCAGATAGCAAGAGATGAGGGGTGAGCAGAGGTTACTGGATGGTTTGGCCAGGCCCAAAGTGAAGATTGTCTCCTGGAGGCGTCGAATAGTGTTGGCATCTCCTTTCATCGCAGCTGTGTTCATCGTGAGGGTGAGCAAACCGATTGTGCTTTCCCTTAACTGCACATCCTTCTCCTTCATCTCCTTCAGCATGTCTATCGCCTCTGTATGACATCACCAGAGATTGAGAAAAAGAGAGAAAGATAGATTAGCCAAAATATCAGTGATGGCCTAGCAGTGGTCATACATTTTGACCAGTTATCCAACAATGACTCACTACTTAAAATCGAGTCAACTCGATTATGTAGATTTTTTTTTTTTTAATTCAACAAGTTTTGGAATGGGTTGACAATTATAAAATAATGAAATTTTACAAATTAATAATTGAATCCTCTACATGCAACTAGTTACATGGTACGCAACACATGTATATAGTGGTTACTTGGTACTCAGGGCTCAGTTTCATAAATCGCAAGTGCAAACAAAGGTTTAACCGTCTTGTTGACTGTTCCACAGACTTGTGGAGGTTTTTTGTATATCTGTGCGCTTAGCCGTTCCCTGATGGGCCGGTGCCAGATGAGAGAGTGCGAGAGAGGGGAAGAGGTGATAAAAGCCCCCTTAGATAATTTCATGTGGGGAAAACAAACCGCTATTAAAACAACATTTTACACCCAGCGGGGATGCAAATGCTGCCGTATAATGCCAATTCACCGCTAATTACTACTTGCATTTCTAAACGAGACTACAATTACGGAGGCCCCCACAATAGTAGGCTTTTTTTTCACGGTTCCCTGCGAAAGCATGCTGGGAAATTATAGGTGTGCGGCGAGTGCCCGGCGTGAACTCGGCGGGCTCTGGTCGTGGATACGCCACAGCTTTGCTACCGTAATGGAGGTTTTTTACTGGGCGATGCTCCCATCTGGCAGAGGGGAGAGGGTCCACCTCCACAGCTGCTCTGTCACCAAGCCAGATAATTAAGATGTGTTTACGCGCTGTTTAGAGGCTAGCTAATGGGCTGATACCGATAGGGCCTGTTTGCACTGGCGATACTAATCATCTAGAACCGAGAGAGAGTGACACAGAGAGAGAGAATGAGGGTACCATCATCACAGCTGTGTGCATGTGGGAGTCAGCACTGGCCACAGGCAGTCAGGCAAACTCCCAAATTCCCATGACTCACAGCAGTACTGCTGTTCATCTCCATTTCTTCATAGTACTTCGATAAAGTAGATAAAGTGCTAGATTTCATGCCATTAGCCAAATTGCAAAAATTTACCATTTCTTGAACACTTGCCATTGGTTGATAAACAATCCCACCCAAAACTTTATTGGTTGAGCAATTGTTGCTGTGTCAGTAAACTTAAAAAGCAATGTTTTGATAACACAACAGTATTTATACTTTCCCTGGAAAGTATGAATTATATCAGTTTAATCCGAACATTAAGTTTTTGTTTGTATAAATGGTCAACATAGTTAAGAACTTTCCCAAGAAAATATGGGTACACAAATGCCACTAAAATATTACTGAAGTGAAAAGCAGTTAATAAAATTAATAAAACAAATATTAATAAAAATTAATATGCAGCATATTATTTTTTATTTTTAAATATTTTGTAAAATGTAATACTTTAAAGGGTTAGTTCACCCAAAAATGAAAATTGTCATTAATTACTCACCCTCATGACCTTCAAACCCATAAGACCTTCGTTCATCTTCGTAACACAAATTAAGATATTTTTGATAAAATATTAGAGCTCTCTGACCCTCCCATAGACAGCAATACAAGAACGTAATCAATGTAATGTGTTGTTTACGTTCAGTAGACAGCGTACGCATGCTGAACATAAACAACGCTGATTACGTTGAGTGGATGCTCTCCAAAATGGCGGAAGACGGTAACTTGGGGAGAAGAATTGTTGAATAAATTATATTATTGTTTTCTTTGCGCACAAAAAGTATATCATTAATTACTCACCCTCATGACCTTCAAACCCATAAGACCTTCGTTCATCTTCGTAACACAAATTAAGATATTTTTGATAAAATATTAGAGCTCTCTGACCCTCCCATAGACAGCAATACAAGAACGTAATCAATGTAATGTGTTGTTTACGTTCAGTAGACAGCGTACGCATGCTGAACATAAACAACGCTGATTACGTTGAGTGGATGCTCTCCAAAATGGCGGAAGACGGTAACTTGGGGAGAAGAATTGTTGAATAAATTATATTATTGTTTTCTTTGCGCACAAAAAGTATACTCGTAGCTTCGTAAAATTACGGTTGAACCACTGATGTCACATGGACAATTTTACCGATGTCCTTGCTACGTTTCTGGACCTGGGAACATTGCAGTAGTATTGCTGTCTATTGGAGGGTCAGAGAGCTCTCAGATTTTTTAAAAGAACTTAAATGTAAAGAAATTAATGACAGAATTTTCATTTTTGGGTGAACTAACCCTTTAATATGCAGAACATATTTTAAATTAAAAAAAGAAATGATTAAAAACACACAAATCACTTTTGAAGTTGAAATATATCATTTCTATCCCACTTACATCACCAAACAGTTGCAATTATATTGACTAATTCATACAAATTTCTTAAACACTTGCCACTGTAAGATGTTTTTTTTTTTTTATAAATTAATACTTGAGGTTCAGCAGGGTCATGCTGAGTTTTTAAGAGGCTGCTTTTGTATGATAAAGCTCTGTTCACTTATCTACTCAGTCACGCTGTTATTCGGGCACAGATCTCATCCTTTACTGCTTTTTTAATTTTTGAGGATTGTTTTATCAAGATCCCAGCAGTCAGCCCATTTAAATAGAGGCTTGTCATTTAAGAAGCGCTCTTGTCTAAAAAGTGCCACATGTTAGGTGTTAACAGCTGGATATGAATTGAAGCAATGGAGGTTAAATGGATCGCCGGAGGGCGTCGTGACAAAAAAGAAACACTGAATTCCTGGAGAAACAATTACCTATAATCCTGAAGCAAGATCCACTCCAAAGGAGTGACAGTCCACTTCCAGAATCGAAGCATGTGAACAAATTTATCTGTTAGAAACTAGATCTATTAAACTATTAAAAATTAGATTTATTTGAACTAAAATACATAAATAAACTTATTTAATTAATAAAACATTATATCTAATTTTATCTATGTTTTAAGAGCAAAGGAAGCAAAGTTTCCTTACTTTAGCAAAGGAAAATCAGTCTCCTCTTGGCTTATATCGAAATTCTCCGACATTTTTCTTTACAAATCCTAGTTTTGTGATTCTAATTTGTGACCGGCATTTTGTTTTGTTCTCTCTCCGCTGCGCCCGGAACGGCTTCTGCCTACAACAGTTAGCGGAAGTGAGAGAAAAGTGTTTATATAATGTTTTAAATATGGATATTTTTCTTACAAAAACGCATTGATTCGCTACAGGATTCGCTACATTCGCTGCCTTTATTCACCCCCCCCCAGAGTCGTGTGAGGCACGTTTTATTATGGATGGATGCGCTTTTTTGACTACTTTTGGACTGTTGAAAAAAAACACCCGCCTACTGCCATTCTAATGCTTGGAAGAGCCAGGACCATTTTTAATATAATGACGATTGGATTAGTCTGAAAGAAGAAAGTCATATTGTTTGTTGGTTGTTTGTTTTACACCTAGGATGCTTTGAGGGCGAATAAAATATGGGCTAATTTTCATTTTTGGGTGAACTAACCCTTTAAGTATCATAGCTCAATATGTCAGTGCACAAGCACTGTAAACTTCTGCACAATACTAGGACTTCCTGATGAGCGTGTCCTGAGGTTATGGATGAGGTTTGAGAAGACAAACTTCTGAGTCCCAAATGAAGCCCCTCAGACCACTCGCTGGTCATACGGAGCACGGTTCACACATCGCTGGACCACAAACAGCAACCGAGCTGAACTTCAGCCATATGAGAAAGCTCTGTGATGGCAGACAGCTCAAAGTCTTCTTTTCTGACAGAACCACTAATCACACCCAATCAGCTGCTGGTGGTAAATGGGCCCGAATGGACGGCTAGCAGCGAAGCATCCCGGCCCACTGTCTGATACCACACACACTGAGGTAAACAAATATCACACAGCCCATTAGTCCTCGAGCTCATTCCACGGCCTTCTGCCAGCCTGTGAACCGGCAACGGCATTTTACGAACTCCGTATCAAATGTAAGGAAACAAGAGAAAAAAAAAACAGAGGAGGAATGAACAAGAGGCGAGGAAAGGGTTTCAAACAAAAACAAGGCCATTAAAAGCCAGGCCAGCCAGTGTGCTAAGGTGCCACGAGTCATGATCTTCAAGCGGATCGGGATGTGGCGGAGATGCGGGCAGGCTGGGGCGCTGAGGTGTGTTAATGTGAATGACAAGCTCCAAGCGCACACCGGTGGGCTAATGGCCACCGGCTCGCTCTGATGGACACACATATACATACACACACACTTCCCTCATCATACACTTTCGCCTGAATTCACATGCAAATGTGCGTGTGTGTGTGAAATACTCAAGCACTTTCCCCGACATGATATGCCATTAGTATCAGGACGGATTTTGGTAATTCTGTTAAAGTGCAGCCGGTCCTGTAATTTTCCCTCGCTAGGTGACAGGATGAGTCCGAGCGAGAGGGAGGGGGCAGCCAAAGAGTGACACGCATCATGAAAAGAGAGACGGAGCGTGTATTTTCACCATCACAGTGTGCACAAAGCAAAGAGGAAACACTTTTATTGTAATTGCGTCTTCCATGAGCATGGAGAAATCCACAGTGGAATTCAGATAATGGCTGATTAATGTCCCCATGCGGATAGACAGGTGTCTCGGACCTCACTCTTGCATGTAGACACACTCTCAAGGCCGCTCACGTTGAACGCCGCCTTTAAGAAACTAATTAAGCAAGTGGCAAGCTTTTGATAGCGCCGTAATAAGTAATACAAAATGCTCATTGGTACCTTGATGTCCTAAGTGGTTTAAAAAGTGAGGCAAGGCACACCTAATGTGACAGCCCACATTATTTGTGACAAACTAAACTAAATTATTTCATTAATCCAGGATGGTGAAAATAAAAGGGGCGTCTGTAATTATTTCAACAGGGCCTGACGCTATCACACGGGCACAGACGCGACCACTAACCTTCCAGCTTGCCGTGTTTGGATAGCACTCGGACCAAGGCCACATACTTCTGAGCATCCAGCGTTGCCTCAGAGTCCTTGCGAGCCCTGAAACGCCAAAGAGGAGTAAACACAGGTTGACAAATTAATTTTTAAGTCACATTCTTTGTGCTGCGAATGTTTCAAATTCAAAGGGATACTTCACTTGAGAATTAAAGGGTTAGTTCACCCAAAAATGAAAAATTGACCATTGTTTTGTTTTGATCTCTCCACTGCGTTTCCGCGTGCGTCACTTCTGAGCGGAGCATGCGCAAATCCGACCACATACGTTATTCCCCTGGAACTGCGAGGCATCCTAGGTGTATATGACTTTCTTCTTTCAGACGAATCCAGTCGGAGTTATATTAAAAATGGTCTTGGATCTTTCAAGCTGTTTCATGGCACTCAGCGAGTGTTGCATTGCACAGAAGGCCTTTATTCACCCCCCGGAGCCGTGTGAGACACTTTTTATGGATGGGCGATTTTTATTTCACTTCTTTTGAACTGAAGCAATGCAACACCCGCTGAGTGGCATTAAACAGCTTGAAAGATCAAATACAATTTTTAATATAACTCCGACTGGATTCGTCTGAAAGAAGAAAGCCATATATACCTAGGATGCCTCGGGGGTGAGTAAAACACAGCCTAATTTTCACTTTTGGGTGAACTAACCCTTTAAGCTGTCATTATTTGCTCACCCCCTCATGTTCCTTCTGAATTGATTTCATTCGTGAAAGAAAGGTTTTTTTTTTTTTACAAATATCCAAGCCACTTTTTCACTTCTCTCTCATCAGAGAAGAGATGTTGCTATCAGAAGATGTGGAACGTAGTCGTATGGACTACTTTTATGTTGCTTTTGCATCTTTTATGAAGCTTGAATGCGCCATCTCTATTCATTGTAAAAAAGCAACCAGAATGTTCTTCAAAAATGTCCTTGCGTTACATGGAAAGGTCTTACAATTGTGGAATGATATGAGGCTGAGTGACTAATGACATTTTAATTACTTGGTGAACTGTTCCTTTAACTGTTCACAAAGCAAAACAAGGATGTTTGTATGACGGTGATAATGTGTACGTCTAACTTACAATTCCATCTTTAGCTTGAGGGCTTCCTCGGCATTGTCATGGCGGCAGCACAAGTTGATGAGCGTGGCATATGCGGCAGGAGTCATATCCGTTTCATACTGAGTTTTAAGCTCCAGAGCTCGCTCCAGTCTCTAATGAGAGATATAAAGTTACAGAAAAAATCAACTGCAAACATGTATATACAAATACTGACGAATGGTTTTGAATGGTGACTAGTGACAGACCAATATCCACCATATTTTATAATGTGGAACCAAGCTATTTTCTGTGAATGTGCGGGACTTCATTAGCCACTATAGGTAATAATCTAGCAGAATAAAATTTTTGTACAGCTAAAATAACTGGAGACTGAAGTCTTGCACATTCAAGTTAACAATGTCCGAACCCACACGATGTGTTCAAAATAAGGTGCATAATTGGTTCAATCAAATCAGTTGACCACTATAAATGTCTATAAAAATAGTAATCAGTGTCCAGAACACTAAATATACTGATGGGTATTTATGAGAATAATAGACCTCACCTCCTCGGAACACAGGACAGTGATTACTTTTTTGAGGGTGGAACTGGCTGGCTTGCCCTCAGCTTTCAGCTCTGCCAGGGTCTTCTCCAGGAATGAAAGTTTCCCCTCCAAACCCTAACAAAAACATGAGTTCATCTTACTGACACAGCTCAGCTCATGGATTGAGCACTTTTGGTTAAAAAAATATATACATACAAATACTTACTCTAAGCAGTGTTGCATCAGTCTCCAACCCATTTTCCTTTTTATCCACAAGAGCAAGGACATCCTGAAAGAAAAAAATATAACCTGCTCTAATTAACTGTACTATTACAGATCTGGAAAAAAAATGATAAAAAACAGATTTGTAAAGTTTTTGAAGAAAATATTTAGTGGTTTTGCCATGCAAAAATCTCTGTGATGTGATTTTTGTGTGTTTTTTGGCCATTTTATTGTCTGCCAGGTAAAAAATAAAGCCTTTTCACTTAGAAAAGTACTAGCACACCTCTAATGTTGAATTTTGGCATAATTCTTGGCTGAAAGCTGTGGAAATGGTGTCAGATTCAAATCTCCAAGTATAGAAAATTATACTTGTCTTTGCAAACAACACTATTTATAAAATACCTTGACAAGTTCTGGAACTTGGTAGGACTCCAGAATGTTCCTGATTCCTCTGAAGATGTTCAGCGAGATGCTGATATTCTGAAAGAAGAGAAATTATTAACATTGAGTAACTACTGATCTAACGAAGTAACAAATGATCTTTAGTTTTGCTTCAGTGCTTCTGTATGCATGTTATTCTGTTCACTAATGTATTTTGAATAAGGTTGCGGTTAATAGCAAATAATCAAAACTGTAGATGCAGAATTAAACATTTCTTGTTCTTTGTATTAAGTAGCTTTTATTTTGTAAAGCTAAAAGCTCTGCGTACTAGCTTAGCATACTGCCATTTGATCAAAAATACAGTAAATACAGTCATTGTGAAATATTATTACAATTTAAGTGTTTTCTAATTTAATATATTTTATAATGCCATTTATTCCTGTGTTGGAAAAAAGCAGAATTTTCAGCAGCCATTACTCCTGTCTTCACTGTCACATGATCCTTCAGAAATCTTTCTAAAATGCTTGTTTTTTTTTCTAAAATATTTTTGTGAACTGTGATATATTTTTTCTCTGGATTCAAAAAGAACAGCATTTATGTAAAACAAAAATCTATTATAACAAGTTTTTACTGTCACTCACATTTAATGCATACGTGCTGAAACGACTTATTGATCCCACATTTTGAACGAGTGTAGTGTACATGTTTTTATCTGATCATAAGGCATTGTGAATGGCTATCTGCTGGGGTCCTAGACAGATTCGATTTAACAGGCATACCGAGCGGTTCACGATACTATGTTTGAGTGTTTGCCAACATACCATGTTCTTAAGCAGGCCGAAGTACTCCCTAATCTGCTCTTCTTTGGAGTGCACCTCTGTCTCGTTCAGGGAATCAATCAGGTTGTAAAGGAAGTAGGCCACATTTTCTGCAAAAAGGAGAGAAGAACCAATTTGACACTTTCTGCTTTCTATAAATACATTAATAGTCATATAAATACACAAAGGGAGCTTCTGTAGGACCAGAACAACAAAAATACTGCAATCCAGCAAATAAGCTCTTAAACCGTGTGTGTGTGTGTGTTATGCTGACACAAGCAGTTTGCTGCAGACTTGACTGAAGTCTGTTTTAACAAGTGGCTGGCAGCTGACAGCCTCACGCACACATTTGCATTGTGCATGGTGATGGGATGAGACAGAGAGACCGTCTCCATCGCTCCCACCTGCTCGGACACCAGAGCGGAGGCCAGCTCCAGTGCAGCGAGACGACAAACACTCGCGGAAGCTCTGTTAACTCAGCGCAGAGTCAGCAAGCAGACAGCACTCACATAAACATGCGCACGGCTACTGTTCAGACTGCATCAGACACACACACGACACACTTAATGCAAAGTACGGCTATCAGGATCCACTCCATCACTGCCAGTGGCCCAACAGACCTCAGTGCACACACACACGATACTGTCAGTGAAACCAGCTCAGAGGACATATAGGCATTGAGATTTACTAGTGCAATGTTTTCCAACCATCACAAGAGCTGATGATATACTGGCTATCAGCTAAGATTGTCATGGACATTATGTAAATAAAACAAGAGAATAAATAAAAGAAATAAAGTGATAAAGCAGCATAAAAAAATAATTTAGTATGGCATGCTACAGTTTATTAAAACCTATTTTTAACAACATTTTTATGACATTAACTGAAAGACTGAAATATTGTACTTTGAATGAATTTGTCATATTGCAGGAGCATTTAAATCAACTGAAAAGTTGAAAAATTCCCCCTTTTCCACCAATTATATTTTTAAATAAATGTTGAATACAGAAATACAAACAGGCAAATACGTAATGTTAAAGAGTGTTAAACAAACAACTTACCTGAAGTTTCAGGGTCAGCACTATTGAACCGAGGGTCTTTATAGAGAAGCTCTGTAATCTGTAACAGCAGATGAAGAGGTCACTTTAACAAAAGTTCTTTTCATTTGTTTTTTACCATCTTTCTTAAAATCACTTGGTTTCATGCTTACCTTTGCCATAAGCTCCACATTGTGAAACCTGTAGGGGGCAGTAGAGGATCAGAGATGACTCTCATACAGACACGGACAAAAACATTTCTACTGCAACTTTCAAACAAAATACTTTGGCTGATCATCTGTCAGAGAGTGATTTCAAGATCAAGGACATATTTGGTGTGACTGGGCTTCATTTGACATATCAGAACATATAACAGGGTCCTCTCACTTTTTGACCAATGAATCTCTGTGATTTCCTTCCATGATTTTTCCAGTCACCTAACTGTATAAGGATTTTTTTTTAAATAATTAAAAAGAGACTGCAATCAAAAGGTGAATAAAATACTTTATAGCAGTGAATAATGAGAAAATAATATATATAATAATAATAATATATTTAAAACATGTTATGACGCTCACCAAGGCTGCATTTATTTAATCAAAAATTTTGAATGCTTTGAAACTATATGCATTGTGAAAAGTGCTATATAAATAAATGTGAACTGAAATGAACAATGTATTTTATTCCTGTGCTGACAAAGCTGAGTTTTCAGCATCATTACTCCAGTCTTCAGTGTTACATGATCCTTTAGAAATCATTCTAATATGCTGATTTGGTGAATAAGAAACATTTCTTATTATTATCAATGTTAAAAACAGTACTGCTGCCAATTTCCAAAACTGGAATACATTTTCTACAGGATCCTTTGATGTATAGAAAGTTCAAAAGAACAACATTTATTTGAAATATAAATATTTTGTAACATTATAAAACTCTTTACTGTCACTTTTGATCAATTTAATACATCCTTGCTAAATAAAAATATAAATTTCTTTAAAAAAAACTTGCTGACCTAAAACTTTAGTATAGATTACTATATATTGTATGATATGTTTTGAGTAATAGTAATATAGTCATAATATAATATAATTAATATATTTATAGTATATTTAAAAAAAAAAAGCTTTCTAGATCCTCAGTGGTCACATATATACACAAATGCACATTCACACACAGTCCGACAACACGCTGAGAAATCAAGATGCAGTAGTGGTAGGGAGTGTTCACGGCAGACAGCAGGGAGACAAGGAAGGAAAAAAAGATTCAACATTGTTTAATGATTAAATTATCTTCTGACCTTGATTATTACAAGAGCAGGTCGCTAAGGAGACAGGGCCCCGACAACCCCCTCTACCCTTCTGACAACCCCAATTACAAACCTGACATCCATCGCTGCCGGCAACCTCCCTGCTCAGCTTTCACATCTAAATGCTTTGCTAAATACAGAGGACAGCAGCATCTGCTGCCCTACGGCCTCTGCGCTCAAATCAGAGTTAAAAACAGAGCTGGTCCTTAACTATTGTGCATGATGGGATTGATTTTAGATGTAAGCTGAGTGAGTGCACTAAGTGATACCATAAGAAATTGATGTGATAAATTAAATACCATGACAGGTTTATGAGCATGTGTGAGGAATGAGGTGACTGTCTGGGGGGAATTAGGCAAAAAATAAACACTGACAGCCATGCTGATGGCTAAAATGCCCATGTGAGTCTTTGCATCTCACCATCAGCGGCAGTCGGGATAGTTAGTAGTCTTTCAGCATCGGACAGAGAGGCATCAGAAGCAAAGCAACAAAGAGGACAAACTCTATTTGCATTCCTCCCATGCTGTAATTGGGCTAGAGATGACTGCGTCCATATGCATGAGGTGACGGGTGAGTGGCTGTCTAGCCAAAAGGCAGAAAATTCTGCTAGCTAACACACACACACACCTGTCTAGCCAAAAGGCAGAAAATTCTACTAGCACGCACACACACACAGAGTTTGTTTCATTACTCACCCTCTGAATCCAGAGATCAGACTGGCTCTGAAAGCACTGAGGTCAATGTTTGGAAGAGCAGGTGAAGACACTGCAAGAGTGTGAATGTGATGAATGTCATGACAACAGAATCATTTCAAACATATAACCCCGTTAACATCGTAACTAAAGCTCATTTTCTTAGTGAGCTGCATGTTGACTTATTATGGATTTACACCTTTTGGCAAACTTTCTCGGTAAAAAAAAAAAAGTAATTCCAGTACTAAAACTCCTTTTGAATTCAAATTAAACCAATAGGAATTAAGCCTAAAAAAAAAAAAGAAAAGAGACAGCAGGGGGCACAACTGTGAAGGGGAAAAGGTACCATCCATAATTCAACAGCATCTGTCCCCATTTACCTTGGTCAGATAAGGAGCTTCACTCCATTGATTAATTTTGCATATATAAACACAATATATATACACAGTATATATGCAGTATATATGTATATACTTTTTTCACTCTCTAATCACTTAAATGACCTAATGGGCATGTAGCTGCTTGGTAGAGTGCATGTTTGAGTGGATTATATATGTGAAGTCCAGATGGATGGCAATTAGTCTCCAAGTGATGAGTACTATCATACAGGGAGGGTATATCTAAAAAAATCTCTCCACAGAGTACATGATATACAGACAGACAGAGAGTGGTTGAAAGAAAGGAAAAGAGGTCAATTTTCATGAAAGCTAATGCTTACTCAGAGAGAACAGCCCTGCAAGATTTCCACGTGACGCTTCTGTTCGTAATTCTGCCGCAATCAAAATATTGCCGTCCACGTCAATACCTGCCTCCTGCAATTATCAACCCAAGTTAAAGAGTGTTTCAGAACGGTCACATAAACCAACAAGCCACACACATATCCAGCACAATAACCTTAAGAGAAGTGCGGGCACTGTCCACTGATGGGAAAGATGGCAGGATATAGATACTAAAAGTATCAAAGTCTGACGCAACGCCCAGTTCTTGCATGGCTCTCAGAGCTTGCAGAGTACCTGAAAGGAAACAAAAAGTGATTTATTCAAACATGTGCACCTTAAAATGTAATTCATGACATACAAAAGTTGCGTCTGCACCAAAGTTCAAAGATGGTCTATGGAGCAAAATAGGGCCCTCAAATTCTCATGAAACCTTAAGTGACAAATAGGACACTCTATGGTATTGTAATACATGTGACAAGCAAAGTACAAAAAAGGGGAAACCTGCTTTTTACCTGTAAAGCTTCTCTTTCTCTCCTTGAATTTATGCAGTTAATGTGGGTCATACATCATAGGTTGGAAAATACAGATACAAAAAAAAAAAATCACATCCCACCATCACGCCTGTTCATTCAGTCCACCCAAGCAATGACTCAGCATTACATATTTGAACCATGATTTCTGGTTTTAAAAAAAAAGATGCTTTCCTATTATGTGGGAAAGAAATAAGCAAAAACATCTTTTCATAAGTACTAAGACTAACGCTACACTGGTTCTGGGATTTTTTTTAAACCAGCAACATGACTTAAAGCCCAAGGCTGTTTACAATTCACTGAACCAGGTCTTAAATTGAAAGCATTAATAAACAAATGAAATAAAATACTCTGAATATTTGAATTATCACATCAGTCTTCCAGTGGCATGGCCTGGAGGAACACCTCCTTCAGGCAGAGGATTCAGGCCTGTACCCGGCTCTCCAGCAGGGCCCTACACTCCTGCCTAAAGCACAGCATGCATATGGAACAGTCTCTCGACCTACTCGGGCAAACGTTTGTGTGTGTGGGAACACGTGAACTAGCGATTTGTGTTTTGTTTACTCTTCACCTTGGTCCTTAGCACTCTGTATCGCAACGCTCAGGGGACACCTACACACCTGAATAAAAGATAAGAGCTGCTTTTATCTGCCATTAAAACCTGCATCTGGCACCAGGAGCGGCCGGCAACCGGTGTGTGAGAGCATTAGCCAGGTAAAGCACCTGGAGGCTCCATCCATCCATCCCATCTCTCCATTTCATTCTCATCTGTGCGTCTTTCTCCATTCATCCTTTCTTGCAACTCAGTAGCTCTTTGCTTTCATGCAAACGTAAACAGTCATCCAGACACTCTCTTCTCAATGGAGCCTGAGGGCCGTCTGTCTATTCATTCTTTAATTTTTATGAGAGAAGCACACCTGTTTTGCTGTTAAATAATCCATTGATCCATTTGTCAGCTATAAAAGTTGGCCCAGACAGCACTAGCATGTAGCATGTGAATGGGGACAGAAAATGGATATCCAGTCACGTCACCCGCCGATTCAAGACTTCTCTCAATTCACAAAGTGTGTGAGAGGGCTTTTATGGAACAAATCCGGTTCAATGAATTCTCGGGCGACCTCCAAGTTTCTGTTTGCTACATCACGGGGTTTGATGATTGACCTGTAAGTGCGGGAAGTAACCAAGACTGCGGTCTCTCTTACTAGAGGAGCACTAAAAGGGAGAGGTCAGAATTCAAACTGTCAACAAGCTCAATTTTAAAATGAAATGGATTTAAACATTTTAAAAAGCCAAAAGTATATCTTGCTAGAAGCAAAACTTGAAGTCTGCTTGGGTATGTTGAAACAGGAAAGCACATATACATAAATGTTCAAAAAGTTTTTTTCAGCAAGAAATTCAAAGATGCATTCAATTGATCAAAAGTCACAATGAAGACATTTATAATGTTATAATGTATAAAGATTTCTATTTCAAATAAAAATACTTTCTATTCTTAAAAGAATCCTCCAAAAAAAGTATAATGGCATTGAATTAACATTGATAATAACAAGAACTGTTTCTTGAACACCAAGAATGATTTCTGAATGACCATGTGACTGGAGTAATTAAATTCAGCTTTACATCACAGGTATAAATTATGTTTTAAAATATATTCAGATTTTACTGTATTTGATCAAATGAAGATCAAATAAATGCAGCGTTGTTGAATATAAGAGCCTATAAGTATATGAGAATATAAGAGACAGAAAATAAAGACTAGGAAAGGCTAAATCAAGTCAAAAAATTCCACATAAGCCTGCTTATGAGGTTTAAATTCACTTAGAATGCTCATTTAAAAGGCAGCTGCCTTTATGGTCAGAAGACAAACAGGACCCTAGGTTTTGAAAGTTTCTAGGTTTCTGTAGTGCTATTACTATACATTTTCTGACAACAGAGCGTGTAAGAACAAGGCGAATCCATTGCAGATTGAGTCTTCCTGTTTTATGTAATCCAGAAAGAAAAATGTGCCAGTTCAAGAAAGCTCCAGAAACAAGATGATATGAAGAAATAGAGAGGAACTAAATGGCAAGATCACTTTCCACCTCTAGTCCTTGAGATGATTCCCCTCAGAAGGATATTAAAGTTGATGGAAGCCCTAAAGTGGCTTTCTGCAGTTACTGTGATTTAAAAGAACCCAGCATCCAATGCAAGTGGATGACAAAACGTGGATTTTCAAAATGTGGCTAGTGCAAAGAGTGTTCAAGGTGCAGATGTAAAAGCCTGTTGTGTGCTATGTGAGGGACTAAGGCATTCTTCTCGCACTATGTCACAAGCAATGAGCTGCACTGCTTCTTGAATCTGACAAGCACCGCTCGCTCGCGGCTGCTGAGACAAAGCTAGCATATGCTTTTTCAAACTCGCCTGCCCAAATCCACACCTCATCAAAATGCAAACTTTTCCCCCTCTCCGCACTCGTGAACGGGTGGACGGAAAACCGGTGGGTGGAAAGGGGGATGGGCGTCTGCCCGCTGGTGACACCTGTGGACTGAATGTGACATGGCGCTAAATATTTCATGGCCGTGCACAGCAGCGCACGTAATTGAAAGTGAATTCCCTCTGAGCGCTCGCATTTACATGAGACCCAGTCACTACAAATTCTGTCATGTAACCTTCACGTAGTGCAGACTTCAACACTGAGCAAACAAACAAAACAAAAAAAACTGTACAGGAACAGAGAGGTGAGAGTGATCCTGCATGTTTCATGAAGGTTATTGGTTAAAAATTAAATGCTTTTATACTCGCTGTTGCAGTTTCAGCAGGATTTATCTGGACATGCTCTTTTGTCAGAACATTTATTTGTAAGTCTGGAACAGAGAAACTGAAAGAATTGAGGAAAAAAATAATATTCATCAACTAGGTGTCAAAAAGAGTGTCAATTTTTCCTATTCCACAGCTTAAGAAATAACTAAATAGACTACTCTAACTTTTCACAATCCAATTCATTCCAGATGGAATCCTGGAAAATTCTTCCTTTTTGAATATCAATAGGAAATACATCATATTATGGAAGTAAATGTGGCTGCAATAATGACTGTACAGATCAGTGTTTAAGAAGAAGGCTGGAAGCTCAGGACTCACCGGGAATGTTCTTGTCTTTCTGGTAATGAGTGAACAGGGGACAGAAGTAGTGAGGTCTGAGAGGCAAGCCCTCCTCCTTCATGCTTCTCATGAGCTCAACAGCCATACCTTAAAATAATGAAGCATATTTCACAAATCAAGCTGTGAGACTATCAGATAAACTAAAAATAAAGAGAAAGAACTGGGCCCAGAAATGTTTAACACAGGATCATTTTAATCCTGTTAAAATAATCCTCCTGTGTATTAATGTTTCAAAATCTCAAACACCTTGTTATCTTTCTTATTAGGTTAATATCTTTGAATTATGCATTTATATTGTAATAACAGCGTCAATGGCTATTTTCACGACAATAACAAAATATTTGAAAACAAAAGAAACAAAAATGGACAAATAAGCTTGAATTAAAAGCCTGGGATTTGAAAAGACAATAACTGAGGATTAACACTGAACTTATGAACTTTAAATCATCACTGCACTCACCGGTCTTTTTAGCTTCCAGGGCACACTGAAGGGTGAACTGCAGTGGCGATGAGTGCAGACCTGAATCTTTTAGATCTTTGCAAAACCCAACTATGTTTTCCACAGGCTGTAAGGCATAAACATACAAATGAACACAGCATTAATAATATTAAGCCATCTCAGAACAGCTTAAAGGAATAGTTCACCCCAAAATTAAAACTTGGTCATCATTTACTCACCCTCAACTCAGGTTGAACATAAAAGAAGATATTTTGAAGAATCAAAGAGTTGATGATGGTCCCCATTGACTTCCATAGTATTTTTTCCTTACTATGGAAGTCAATGGTGACCAAAAACTGTTGTAAGAAAGAAACTCATACAGGTTTGGACCGACATAAGGGTAAGTAGATGACAAAAAAATTCATTTTGTGGTGAACTATTCCTTTAACATACATGTACACTTAATATGCACTTGTAAAAATGTTTAGGTTGGTTCCCTTTACTTTGTCCATATTGGCGCAATGGCGAAGAAAGAAGTTTCCCAAGTCTGGGGAATCACTGGTCTGTGACTCTACCAGCAGGCCGGTGAAGCTCTTTAGCACAGAAAACGCAGTCTCTTCATGTCCGTGGGTAATCAGACTCAAGCAGAGGTTCATAGCGTCTGAGGAAATAGAAACAAATGGATGGGTCAGTATCAAAATAAAAAACTACATCAATTATTGATAACTTTCTTAAAATCCCATAACAACCTCTCACTGCATCAATATTTTATATATCCCATTTCTCTAATTGGCCTGGGTTCATATTTAAAACACTTAAATAGAATACCGCTTTGAATACATATGGGACCATTATGGCTCAGTATGGACCACTATGGTAAGCGCTTAGGGCAAAATTCAAAGCTAATGGTTCCATATTCCTTCCTCTTCCATGACACGACACTGCAGTCAGCAGACACACCTGGCACATATCCTCTCTCGTGACGCATGCGCTCCACAATCTCAGGCACATGCTGCTGATGGCTGGCCTTCGTCAGACTGAAAACCACCTGCATCAAATCTCTGTCCATTAGAAGGATATCTGCATTCTCCACCGTCTCTAGAGTCTAGAGGAGACAAAATATGATATATATTATTATTACCTAAAAACAAATTAAATTAATTACTGCATTTTAACTTTTGATTATGCTACGGTTCTTAAAATATTTTGTATAAATATGTTTCCACAACCATTGAAAAATCTGAGGTCAGCAAGCTGTTTTTTAAAAAACATATAAATGAAACATTATACACAGCATTCTCTTGATGAGTCCATTTCATACCCCACAATAACAGACCTGTTTAATTTTGGCAATATCTCCTTTCTCAGCATACACGTTGAGGAGAGACAGGTACGTGTCTGGGCCCGGCTCAATCCCTGCACTTTTCATGACTGATAGGATGCCTTCAGCGCTGTCCATGTCCCTGTACAAACACAAGTCACTCAACACAAAGGTACCAAACACAAAGAAGCACCAAATCAACAGCACTGTCCACTCACTCACCCTGCACGGGCATGGCCTGTCACTAGCGAGTTGAACACAGCTTCTGTGATGGGCAGGTCTTTGCTCTTCATAAAGCCCAGGATTGTACTGCAAGACGTTGCGAAATAAACACTGTTACTTCAATTTTTTTATTACATAGAATTTGACAATTCACACCACAAGGGTAAACTAATTGGAAGAAAATCAAAAATCACAACTCGCCTTGCACCTTCAATGTCGCCAACTTCACAATAGGCTGCAATGAGTCTCTGATAGGTCACCTAGCCAGTCACAATATAATATAAATGTAAATAAACATGGTTTCCAATTAAATTTCCTAGCTATCATCAGTGATAAGACAATATATCTATATAGCATCATTGTTTGTTGCACCTTGTGTCAGTCTTACAGTCTAAAGCCGTATCAATAGATTTTTGTAGTGAATGTTTCATTTAATTTCAGCATTTTTTTTTTCTGTCCTTGAAGCTGCGATGTATATATATATTGTTTACTCCACCTTCAATTACAATTATACTCACCCTGTTTGGCTGAACATTAGCAGATTCCATTTTAGCTAGGAAGTCGGTTGGAGAGAATCTGAACTCATTCTGCAGGTACGTCTTAAGCAGGGCATTGTAATGGCTTACATCATAGGTGGTGCCTGTAGTGAACAGCAATATGACAGTTAAACCCAGATTTAGAAGTACAACGAGCAACTGTTCAATTGTCTCTACACATACCCAGTTCTTGAAGCTTGTCCCAGATCTGTTGTGACAGCTCTACGCGCTCAGCCAAGGGAACCTCAGGAAGCAGAGAGCCACAGCTTCTCAGCAACAACAGGGCTTGATTTCCACTTGGATATCCTATTGGAAGTGATTTCAGAAATGAGATGACATGCATGATATTTATTTATGAAATGGATGCAAGAAAGATCCTTAAACAAACAGACAAGTACCTGTTCTGCAAATATCATGGAAGATACGCAGCAGCAGTGTTTTGGTGACCCTGCCTGTCCTTCGGACTGAGCTGTCTAGTTTGGCAAGAGCCCAGTCAAACTGCTGAGCCTGCTTGGAACGGACCGCCACACTGGGCTCATCCTTCACCAGCCCACTCTGCTCCGGGACAACACCATACTGACGACAGCTCACACAGGGCAGGGTCAATCTGTATGAGGACAAACTGCAAAAACAAAAGTGTATACAATCAATCCACATGCATGGCAAACTGGCAATACAAAAAATGAAGGTGGTCACTACAAAACCAATTACGAAATTAACAGGCCTCATTTACAAACATCGTGCCCATGTTTCATGCATAAGTATGGGTTATTGCATATATATTGTTGGTCACACTTTAGGGATCAACTCTCACTATTAAATAACTATTAACTACAAATTTTGCCTCAATTAACTCCTAATTTGTTGCTTATTAATATGGAGTAGGACTAAGGGATCTAAAATATGGTCATGCAGAATAAGGTATTAATATGTGCTTTATACGTAAGTACTAATAAACAGCCAATATGCTAGTAATATGCATGCCAATAAGCAACTAGTTAATAGTGAGAATTGGTCCTTAAAATAAAGTGTTACAGTATCGTCTAAGATAATATGATAATTGTTTTAATAATGTGTGAGATGACATTATCAAGTGTGTCACTCACAGCTGAACAAAAACACACCCTGAGAGTGTCATCTCACACATTATTAAAACAATTATCATATTATCTTAGACGATGTAACACTTTACCATTTAGAATGGTTAAAATGCCCCCCCCCAAAAAAAATTAGCAAACAACGCCTCAGAGGAACTGTTGAGCATCATATTGACAGTCGCTTCATAAAGACAGTCACTTGCTTTGTTCCTGAATGATTTTAAACAAATAATTTGAATGAATGATTCAGTGACTTTCCTCCAACCTCTCGGTTGTAGTTTTATATTTAAAAATGTTTCATTTTTCAATATTATTTTTTTTTTTATTTTGAAACAATCTCAATGTCATAGTATTATTTACACAACTGTAATTACAGTGTGAAATTACATTTGTTACCTCTGAGCTGCATTAAATAGTCTAAATGTACATAAAAGCCACTTCAAATACAGATTCTGTGTTTCCTCTGCAGTGCAAAGATGGATTTTGTTGAAACGGTTTCATTTGATTTGTAACAGACAGTCCTACAGTGTTTTATTATAGTAAAATGTATTGATTAAATACAAGAATTTGAAATTATGACACATATTTTAGTAAAAAAAAGTAAAATAAATAGTAAAAATGTTTCTGGGAATTAATTTAAGGGGGGCAAGTATCACCACTTAATGAAAAAGCACATTTCTGTCCCTGCTGTGAACTAGCCACCATATAGAATATGAAGAATATGAGGAAAACATTGAGTAACCAACAAGCAAAAAACAAACAAACAGACTAAACGTTGGCCAATATGATGTGCAGTATTTTGAGACGGCTCAAAACGACCTTGGCATGTTGACCTTTGACTTTTGGCACATGTTAGCATACAGCTTACTGAAAGACTAGTATTAGTCTAAAACAACTACACACAACAAAACACTATTGTATTATATGGACACATTTATTTTCATCATAGGCTTTTTAGTCAATGGTTTAGTTCATGGATTAATGGTTATGTATTTAAATTAAGGTTTTAATACTACTACTTTGTTTCCAAAAAAGCAGATTGAAATATAATCTGACTGAAAAATGTTATAAGCATTACAAAGAAGCTGAAAGAAAAGATGTAATAGTTACATTCATATATTCTGCAGTGATGTTCATGGGTCACACATACTGCAGGTTATGAGCTAATACACATCTCTCTCATATAACGTCATTAGATGATTTAGATTTAGGCCTGTTCGTTGAAGTTTGGTTAAATAACCTGCATACAGCACATGATCAACGTTTTACAACCTTACAGTATTGTTATAGGAGTGATCACCTCTCAATGACAACTGCATGATCTACACACGCATGGCACAGAGTCATGCTGCGTTATACCTGTTTACATTTAAGCGTCCCGGGACTGTCTGTACACATAACCCTGCACGAGTAGTCCCGACCGCTTCGCTGTAAAGACGACCAGCTGCCGATACATGTCTGCTGTTTCCGAAGACCTGCAGCAATACAGCCGGTGAACATTTAAGGAGCCGGGCTGATCTTAAGAGCGCAGCCATGTTTAGCCTGCAGAGAGAGGAAAAGCGAAGGACATCCGCACCACGTGACAGGCCAGAGAGCAATAGACGAGACCAATGTATTCATAGGGGGGATTCAGTCTCCTCAGGTGCATTATTGTTCAAATTGCTCAGATGCTTTCCGTTTGTTAATTCTGACAATATTACGGAAGCTACAAAATTTACGCAAAAATATACAGCGGTAGGCTAAACGCAAATAAGCCAGTATTAACAATTGTATTAAGAATATGTCCCTAAATAAATAAATACTATAGAGATATGCTTGAAATAATCGGAACTAAAAAATATAATCAGTTTACCTTCCAGTGAAATATATATATATATATATATAGTGTATGCACAATAATTTAAAAATGGAGAAATGAACATGTATAAACAAAATACACAAAATATTCTAACACACTTTAGCTTGACATAAATTAATTAGATTTGTTTCTTATGTCAAGGGAACTGTTAAACAGTGCTATTTAAGTATTATTTATATACTGTAATAGTATTTATTAATAGTTTGAATTAGCATTTATATATATATATATATATATATATATATACACACACATTGTTTACCAGCTTACTGGAGCTGGAAGCTGATTGGTGGCAGCTTGGGGTCAGTTTTGGAAAAGGTCAGCTAGGTGGGGTGTTGTCAACCACAGACTAATACCCACTGGGCCACTCTGTCTCATGCCAGGGGGCTCCAATTTGTCAGACGTGTGGCATGCCAAACTCATTTCCATGGCTGACACACACTGCAAGCCACCCGCACAGCAGTACACACTACACAGCTGACAGGTGACAGTGAACAGGCATTGCCTGCCAGGCATGTTGTTTCACCCACTTGAGAGTCCATCCCTGTCTGCCGAGTCCCCCACAGTGGGATGATGTTGGGGTTGGGAGGATGCTGAGCTGCTTTGGCAAGGCATGGTGAGCAGCAAAAATAGCAGTAATGTGTATTAAAAACTAAAGAGCAGAGCTTGCTTATTAAATAAATGGATAATGCAAATGGTTTAAATGTATAAAGTAGACAGGCAGCAGGAAT